TTTAATTCATTCCATACTTCAGGTTTTTAATTGTTCCGGTGATTTACATAGTAAACAAACAAACAAAAATTCTAACACTGATATGTACAAATTTGCATTTATAAGGGAATTTAAACTCACCTGTTTGCCTGCAAGCCCCAAGACTGACACTCTTCTCAACAGTGTTATTAAAACTCCTGAGCACTCCAAACAAGATCAGAATCTGTTTGCACAGTGGGTTTTTTATACACGAGGGTGAAGTCCCTGCACTGATGGGTTTAAAATCTGTGGATTTTCAAAGCTCAAATGTAATGCAGTTTGGTGATTTGTTGTTCATGCTAACCCTATGCTGCTTTTTTAAAATTTTTCTAACTGCATATTAGCAGTTGGAAGTAGGAAGGACATCTAAATTTAAGGGATTCATAATGAGCTTGTGACTACTTCAGGAACAAACTGAAAGGTTCCCACATTAAAGTGTGTGACAAGTCTGGAGCTGCATTCTTGTGCTTCATGCAAACCAGAAGCAAGGCCCAACAGGAACCAGTAAGGTTACGCCTACAGAACAATGCAGATGCATCCAAGCTCACTCTAAACTAGGCCAGAGTCCACCCAGGCTGTAAAAGTTTGTCCAAGAACCAGGACAAATATTCAAGCAGTTCATCCGTTCCAGTAGAAAAAACAATGCTGGATTCATAGCAGAGAGGAGAGAGTAACACTCTGCACTTAGCAGTTAGGGCACACAGCTCAGGAAGAAAATCCTGGACAAGAGTCTTTGCTTCACAAGCTGTTTCTTTTTTCTCTAGCCACTCTTCCTGTTCTCCTCACCTGCTGACATTTGAGGACATCAATTTACTATATGAAATAGCATAATTTGTTTTGAAGAGTCTGATCCTGTTGATGTGTGTTATATGTGATCTGAGACACCATCCTGGATCAAGACTTATGGGACCTTGAGGCAGGAACAGTCATGTTTGCTCAGGCTGGCACATCTACTAGATACTGAGCTTCTCAAGCATGTGATCATATCTCCTTCAGCAAAGGTGCAATAAATTACCTGGCATGCAACTACGAGTAAGAGCAGCCCACCACCAGGAGCTGCCTGGGAGTAGCTAGTTAGCTCTAAATCTGCACCTGCTAGTCTGTATTCTAGTAACTTGTTCATCCATATCCTCATGTCTGAAGATCTCACCAGACAAGAAAGTATCTAATAGCCTGTATTCTCAAATGCTTTTGTTACTTCATTAGGGTCAAAAACTAGTTCCACAGAATTACCTAAAACTAAAATACCAAGGTTTTTTCCTTCTGATCCCAGAAGTTGTGACTGCTTAAATACCAACTTCCCTTTAATATCCATAAATTGCTTGTCCTCCTCAGGCTGATGCAGAGAATGTTATTAACTGCAACGCTACTCTGGATATTGATCCCAATAAATACAAATTGGGAATCCACTCAGTTTACAAGTGAAAAGACATTTGCTTGTTTCCAGTTACCAGCCCAACACCCTGCACGCTTCTGAGCAGCAGGCTAAGCTCTTCTTTCATGTCTACCCTCAAACACCCAAGCAGAAAACACACCTTTTATGGATATCCCTGCAAGCCATGTTAAGACCAGATGAGTGACACTCAAAGTATCAACTGGCTTTAGAAATCTGTGACAACCGAATGTGACAGGTGAATGATTTTTTTTCAAGAAGTCATTTAGGAAAGCACACCCTTTGCTTGGCTTCCCTTTTTCTCTCTATTTGTGCCCTCCTTGAAGCAGTTTTCCACAGCTGGCAGGTAAAAAAACCCCTCTTAATTTCAAACAACAGGAATGTATTTATCCAAGACCTAAACAGGTGGAACTCCTGAGATACAGTGGAATGCTCTTAACCTGGAGTAGGATCACTCAATCAGCTTTATCTGTAGACCAGGATCTATGGGAAAAGGCAACATTTCAGTGACAATGGTGCTGCTGGGTACAGTTCCTGGACTCTGGGGGTCCACACAAGTTCTGTGGTGTTCTGTCTGCAAACACCAAAAACTCTTCCCCAAGGCTTTCCTGTTTATAACTCTTCTTGCCTGGCAGTGCTACTTTCGTCTCAATGAACAGAACGGACAGCTTTGGGCAGTATGCTATCTGCCTAAGTGCAGCAAACTGCAAACTGTTTGAATACAGGCACACAAATTATACTATACAAGATAAAAGTAAAAATGTATTCCTTATACGTGAGACTCTGCAGTGCAATCGCGTCCATTCTGAGCTTTGCTTTAGCAGCTGTCAGGATGGATCAGCAGTGGCATTCTATGTCCCCACTTTTATAAAGCTTACAAAGAAAATGTCAAGGATTGTTTTATGCATACTCTTACATGTAAGAAGATTAAGAACAAGTCAAACTAGTTTTCAGAAGGAATGGAAAATCCAGCATTAATCACCTACCGAGATCTGATGTTCCAACATTTCTCATTAATTCATGTGCTTGTTTGCCCACCTATTTATAAGCCAGGCCATTAGAAACTTAAAATACTTCAACACATAGTGATTTAATCATATGAAGGAATGTAATGTGGTCTGAAAGGAAAGTAAAATTCAAGTATGTCATCCATCAGTTACTAGCTTCACCACAGGTATGGAGAGCCATTACAGCTAAGCACAGAGGAGCATGAGCTTCCTCCTGCTTCTTGTTCCTTCTATGTCGTTTCTGAAATTCTTTACTATATTCAGGAGAAAGTGCTGTAATACTATTAATGTTCTACATGTTTTGTGTGACACTGACACAGCTCATCCATTCTCACCAAGTTTCAGTTAATGATCTTCATTGTCAGCCTTGCAGAAAACACAGGAATGGTTTTGCTCCAAATGGCCAAGAATTTATAAGCATTCATTTACCATTAGTACTCAAACATCCAGAAAATAAAAATAGCACCTTCCCGTTTTTTTGCCTCTGATGAAAATTTGTGACCAGCTTCCATTTGCTGATTTTGCATTCACCTCCTTGCCAGTTTCTCTTTAGCATTCTGCAAAATCCTGACTGCAGCACAGCACTGAGAACTAGGGAAAGGCATTGGACCAGCATGCTGGAGGCAAGTACGCCAGAGAAAGGGACAGCAGAATGTTTTTACCTTGTCACCACAGAGGAACCAAGTGAACAAATTGTGCTGGCTTTACTCCACAGATTCCAAGAAGCAGCCAAGGCCATCTCCATTTAAGGAGGAGCTCTCTGCCACTGCACATTCTTGTGAACAACAGAGGACAGGCAAATGAAGGCCAAAAACACAATGCTCAAATAATTGAAGGCAGTATAAGCACTGTGAGGTTGCACAAGTAGACAGCATAAGATGAGAACTGATTTCCAGCATCAACTACCAAAGCCAGTCTCTCCAAACAAAAGTTAGTATTAATTACCAGACAATTAGAGCAAATAACTTCAGATCTGTGGACAAAGGATTTTGTCCTGAGAAGAAAGCAGGCTGTCAGTCCTTTTCTTTTTATTGTCAGACTGTAAAAACATTGACTACTCATAACTCACTTGCTTTTTCAATAGCATAGTCATTAATTCCTCTCCACACTCATATACCTCTTCTCTTCCTCTCCTATTCATACTGAACAGCTAAAGTCACATAAAAACTCCTGCATGAGCCCCTAAAGAAAGCAGCTCTAACCTTAGAGTATTAAAAAAGGAAAATAAGCCTGATCATTTTTTTAGTCTACATCTGTATCAATTTACAAAATCAGTTTATGTTTAAAAAACTGAAAGGAATGTGTATCTCTGAGGAATAACTTATATCTACACAGGTGGAGGGGAACATGAACAGACCCACTGCAGGGAACAACAGGCTGTTCACACTGACATTAGCATTTTAACTTGTACCAGTTTTTGAAGCATTGTCTACTTACCTCCACTCACTATGCTTTTGGCTCACATTGTGGAAATTCCCTGTACATGCCAGCTTGCCTACTTTTAGATGGGACCAAGCTTGCATAGTTACTCCAGGGGATTGCATAAATGAACATCCAGTGTATGGGACCCAAACAGAGGTATACAGAATTAAAACTTTCCAAACATACACAGCATGGCAAAAAGGCCTTTTGCAGTGTTTTGGCTTATGGATCCATACTTATCCCAGTCTGAAATTCTTGGTGGGTGGGGAGCGTGTGAGGGTGAAAGAAAAGTTAAGGTTTCTTAAGTTGCCTTGGGTTTTTTTGCCTCACCTAGAAATGTGGACTTAAATATTGTTTAAAACCACAGAGAATTCAGTGTTTGAAACTTGAGTTACGATTCTCAATACCAACTCAGAGTTACTTTATCCTTTTTTAAGGTTATCTATCTGTAGAGCCTGAATTTTTAAACTGTTTCACTGTTCATAAGGCAAAACCAGGACAAAAATATAAATTAGTACTAGACAAAAACCTAGACACTGCCATTTATACTGCAGGTTAAAACTTGCAAAGTAAAGAAGTTGATGGCACCTACCTTCTGCCTGACAGAACACAAATACCAATGTATGCGATACTTAACACTTTCACAGTTAAAGCTGTATGATAACCTTAGTTGCTATAATGTAAAGGTATTTCCACAAAAGGAAACCCACAATAAACAATTCTTGACATATTCCTACATAAGCACAAGGCTCTCCTGAAGTCATAGCATTTTCCCTTCCTCAATTATTTATTTATCCACTTTTTAAAGCTCATGTTTGCAGTGTACTGTCTTCCAATTTGATTTGGCTTGACACAGGCCCTAAACTGCATGTACCTTCCATGGTGCTGCCATGAGGGGAGGCACAGCCTGCAGGGCCAAACCACTGCTAAGTCACTAGTTCATGTTGAGATTATGCTGATGAAAATGTTGATCTATGATAACTGCTCCTCCATAACACACTTTCTCACTTCTTACATGTGACTTCCCTGCATAAGGGACATACCTTGACTTTCAGCACACACCATCAAACCAGGTACTGCTGAGAAGTGTCCCAATATGCAAGCACATCCCTTCCAAAGGCTTAAAAGAAGTCTGAAATGAGCATGCTTGAGCCAGCAGGTGTAAGCAATTGAACTTTAATTCATGATCATTTACATGTGACTAAAAATGTTCGCCACAAAATGCAAACTTTCAGTTATCTTGTATTTAGCAGTGAAAATAGTTGTCTCTTCATAGTAAAGCACCAAGGAGCACATCCCAGAAGACTCAGATTTCATTTATCAGCTTTTCCCCCCTCACAATGTACATGACAAAGTTGAAGAGTTTATCAAAGCCTAAAAGTTCCAGAACAAATTCTAGTCACCTGAGTGTTTGGCAGGAATAGTACTATTTAGTAGCAGTTACTTTTTTCTGCCATTTTTTGATAAAAAGAGTTATTTTTCACAAGTTAGACAGACATAATTGGGCCAAACATTGAGTTTCATATTTCACCTGAATTTTTTCAATGGGAGACAAACAGAACAGTTTTCTAGCAGGAGTATCTACAACAACTGTAAGAGCAGATGTCAAAAGAAATGGAAATAAAATCAGCTCATTATAGCCTGATTGATAGGGCCCAACTGCTTACAGGCACCTATAACCACTATCCCACTCAGTTTTATTCATTACATTTAATTTGCATTTCATTCAAGCATACTACATTTAAGAAGACAACATGATTTTTAAAGTTAAGTTGTGTACATAGACAAATACGTGTACACAGTTTTGGTAGTCATTTAAAGCTGTAAAATTTATAGGTAAAGAGAGTCTATGGACCCTATTACAGATTAAAGAGAAATAACCAAAATCAGTGTTACATACAAAACCATATTCTAACACAGAAACCAATACAGTTATCAAATAATTCATTAGAGAATAAAATTGTTATACAAAATGAGAAATGCTGCCTTTTTATCACTTCAGAACAGCACATAAGAAGGCAACATTAAGAAAAGTGCATGGCAGAAAAGAATTGCTCAGTTTTCTGAAAAAGTTGAATTTTTCTTCAGACATCAGACTTTTGTCCAGAAACACACTAGGTTAGGATTGCTTATATTCTCTCCCAGAGAATGTATTCTCTTCTGGCATTAGTTCTCAGTAAGGCGCTTACTCTGACATGTAGGAACGGTACATCAAGGCCACAATAATTGCTGCTATCGCCGGGATCACCCAGTTGGACCATGAACTAGAAAGAAGTTTATGAAACAGCAGTTTAGGAAGTGAAAACCAGCATGATTACAAAAAAACAAAATCCAAAAACCCCAAACAACTCATTGCTTAAAGAAGTCCTTCCTCCCCGCTCCAACAAATAATTCAAATTCAGGGCAACAGAATACCTGGGCTGGCCAGGAATACTCTAGATAAGTAAAAAAGCTTGCACTGTTAAGGCTTTGTACTAGAGCTTACAAGAAGTCTGCTTACTGGAGAAGAGTAAAACCCTAGACACATTTAAAGTCGTGGTGTGCTGCCCAGAATATCATTCACTCAAAAGCTATTTAAGTGGCAGCATGACAAGACACTGAAAAGACACCCAAGCTCCCCACTCAGGGGGGCACAGAACAGTCCTGTGAGGTTTCAGCAGCAGGCAATTGTCAGCAGGATATAATTTTACAAGTTTGATTCAGTGGTGTTCCAAAGTGTTTTCCACCCCTCTCCCAGTTCTGACAGATTTTCTTTCCTACATGCAGAATCCTCTTATTTCCCTTAGATGTAACAGCAGTACCAAATTTTAAGAGAGGCATCCATGTCAGTAAAGTAGTTGGCAATGGTACCAAGTGTCCTCTGTTCACCTGGTAGCCTACAGAAATAAAGGCTTGTGCAACACAAACCATTTGGTAGATGCTGACCAATATCAATATGAGAAAAACAGCTAGCTAGTGAGCTAACATACTTGTAAAGTGGTACATAGATGCCAACTTGGACTTTGCATAGAACAGAAATTTTCATGCACCATCCTCTGACATCTAAGCTTCCAGCAGATAAAAGCTATTCAGCTTTTTTAGCCTCAGAAGCACAATCATGAAGAACTTCAAGTTTGACATCAGGTGTCATACTATACCTGGAAGTAGACTCAACAGTGGTAATAAGAGTTTCCTGCAAAGCAAAGCATAAAAAGACACTTTCATCAGGCCGACACCTTCCATCATCTTAACTAGCCTCTCAATTTCTCAAAACTCATTAAGTGATACTAATTTACAAACAACTGAGTGGTGCATTTTGAAAGCATTTCCTCACAATTCCTATGACAGTTCTATGTATTAGAAGCTAGCTAGCACAAGTTTGTCTTGCCAACATTGCATCAAATTCTTGAAACAGTATCATCAACAATTTTGCTGCAGGTCTTCCATGATGCTAACTTCAACATCAGGTTACATTTGAAAAGTCTTAGTCACCCAGAAGACAAAAATCCCTTACTTGATTAAAATGTGATTGAAAAGACACTGAATTATTTCACAAATATTTCTTATATTGAAACTACATGAAGAAAGCAACTCATTTCCATCTACAAGGCTTATTAAACTTTTTTTAGTGTGGTGTTTCAGACTGTGTAAGAATCAAATTGTTATAGCTGTTTCTGATACTGATTCAGACTTCTTGTTCAGTTTCCATAGAAAAAGCAGCACTACAAGATCAAATCCCAGTTGGGTACATATGCACAGTTTATATGAAGACTTATTCATTTGAATAATTCTTATTGCACATAACCCTAATTGCATTTTAAAGATACAAGCATTAAAACTCTACTTAAATTTAGTGGTAGAAGATCTACACTGAAAAATTAAATTTCTTCAGTATCAGAACATCTGCAATTAATTTAATGAGAGAAACATTGCCAAAATCCTCTCATAGGTTCAAGCACACTACTTTTGCAAGCATCCAAATATTCCTAGGTTTACATGTGACAAACACCATGTTGAAAAGAATGTGACTCAGTGATTACATCTCGATTGCTTTTGTGAATCGCGAAGCCAAACAGCAAGGAAGAGCTTGTGCCACACTATCACAGCTAACACCTTCTCCAACACACTTGGCACATCCAGGACCAGAGATGGCTCCTCACACACCAAGACAGTAAGAGAAATACGAAATATGGGCCAGCTCATAAACCCCTCTGTTATAACTCTGTGACACTGGACATGTACACTGAGGTTACATGCAAGGACAAGGAAGACATTTGAAAGCCCAAGGCCTTCTGACAGTTAGTTCCTAGAGAGACAGTGATTATGTAGAACCTGCTTAATCTGTCACATTACCCACCCAGAGTACAACACAAATAAAACTGTCTTAGCAGCTATACCCACACACCCTACTAGAGGAAAGAACTTCTGGAATGATGGAAAACACACAGATAGTATAGGTAGCTATGACCAGCAATGAAGCAAGGAAATAAGCCAAATAAGAGTGTACTAAAAATTAATCTGGCTAGATCTTAACTCCAAACTGACTATACATTAGCCAAACTAATATTCCAAGTACTTGAGTTTAGTAAGTTCCTGTGAGCTTACTCAAAGGATTACCTACTACAACTTGCACTGGGCATTCTGCTTCTCAGTTGCATTTATCATTGCTGCTCTTACTGCTTAAGTGTAAACTGTCCTGAATTTCAGAAGAAATCTGAATAGCAGATGCTAATCTTGGTGGAAAGAAGCTCATCATTCCAGTCACTACTTCATTTCTGATTAGTATACTAGTGCCAGTCCTTTAACAATAAAACGAATAATTGCTGTAGTGAACATTTCAGTGCATTATATATATATAAAATTTACTTTAACTAATTCATACTATTGGAAGATCTTCCAAAAGTGATTACTTTTAAGAAACAAATCTCTCAAGCAGCAAGAGTAAGTTCCTATTCTTACTAAGTTTCATTTTACAATCTTCAGTTATTTCCTAAGCACATTGCTGCATGGGTAAGGCAGCTCTGAGCAAACATCCTCTATAGACACAGCAGCAGCAACTGTATAAATTAATCCCTGAAGCACTTGCTCCTTTTAGGATCATATAGGAGAACTGAGTTCCAACACAACTTAATTCTACTAAAGATTGAAAAAAAACCCTATTAGAGAATGTGTGCAGTACTGCATTGACAGGACACTCAGCAAATCTACTGAAATAGTCAGGGAGCAAACCACCTTGACAAGGGTTCACAATTCTAATTAAACTGATTTATAATACACCAAATGCCTCTACATTCTTTATCCACTAGTGTTAGCAATATATTGTTAAGCATCACATTTTTCCTCCCACATACTTAGTAGTTTAATCTGTCCTGTCTATAAAACTATCTGTTTTTCTTGAACTGAATCCTAGAAGAAAACTGACTGATTCTAGAGCCACCTTTCTGCTATAGTATAATGTCATCACACTTTGTAACCTCCTGGTGTGAAGCCATGGAAATGAAAGAAAATAACAGTTAACAGGAAGAATAATTTGAAGCCGTATCTAAAGGTTTAAGAGATTTATAACCTGAAACACCACACTTAAATCAAGCTGAATCATTTTTATTGCTGGAGGTATACCATTTACACACAGACACTGTCCCTAATGCCTAGAAGAGGCAAAGTGGCATTTCAAGAAACACACTTACTGTTGGTTTCTGAAGCTTCGCTCTATCATCCTGCAGGGAAAACAAGCAAGAAACTTTTAGACAAAATCCAAAAGCATTAAGAAGAAACCAAACCCACATCATTTATCACTAACTTCAGCTTGCAGTTTATTCTGTTAATGTGTATTTTTCCCTAGGTAAAAACAGACTTGCAAAAGAGCAGATGTCAGTGGATGATTCTGAGCTAACATAAACAAGATCACTTCCTTAAATAATACTTCCCAGTATGCAATGAGGTTGTGAAACCTGAGCCTCCAACGAATTTTTCTTTTCGCCCACGTTTTTGCATTTGTAAGGAGGACACATATCTCCAACGAATTTTTCTTTTTGCCCATGTTTTTGCATTTGTAAGGAGGACACATAACATTAGCTTATACACTGATTGCAATCAGATTGGTTTACTTCTGCTTAGTCTACTCATATTGTCAGGCAAAGTCAGATAACTAGTTTTGGTCCAAGGTCCACTCGACCAAAGGTCCCAAATTCTCTGGATCTTTCATAAACTCATGAAGTTATACTTGACATAGTCACATTCATTACAAAAAAGCCCAACTGTATATAATCTTGACTGTGCTGTATTTGTACATTAAACTACCAAGCTGCTTGTTTCATATCAAATGAAAACAGGCACCTCCCAAACAAGGAAGCACAGGACTGATAGCCAGGTTAAGAACAACACTACTGGCATCAACTGCCATCTGAAAGAGATGGTAAGCCTGCAAGGACACAAATGTGCATCAGAGCTGAATTACTTCTTAGAAGAAGCTACACTGGTAACATTTATCAAGAGAGGACCTGACACATAAGATGAGGAATCTTACTCTGAAATAGGCTACTCAAGACAGTGATATTTACCCTGAATGCATGACAAAACACACACAAAAGAGAAGAGGAAAAGAGAAGGGGCAGGAATGGGCAGTAAGGTAGAGTAGATCAGCACACTAGCAGCCTAAACCTCTAACCAGAGTTTTTCAGCTATTAAGATACAGGAGACCTTAACTAAGACCTAGCTGAAGCAAGTCAAGACAGCAGCTTTCCAGCCAGAAATAAATCCCTCAAAACTTGAGTCAGCTGAAAGGTGCTTGCTAGAAGTACAGGAAATGGCAGGACAGGATAGAAAAGAGAAGAAGTGACAGATGATCCAGTGGGAGCTCATCATAAACAACCCTGACAACCACAAATAGGGAGCACTGATAGAGCTTAAAATGGGGGGTAGGCAGAGAGGGTGAAGACAAAGCATCAAACTAGAGGCACAGCGCTTGTAATATCCATTTTCTAAGTATACACAAAGAGCCAGGATTGTACTTTTAGATCCAGATGGAAACCTGGCAGATATATGTACAATGATGAAAGTGTGAAAGCAACAGCTAAGTAGTCACTCTGCATACTGGCATGAGGAAAGGTCTAGACATTCTGACATACCACTTTCAGGGGTTACAGTGTCACTCTAAAGCTGACAGGATACACCAGAAATGGCACCATTCCATATTCCATTTATTCAAGAACTAAGTGGTAAGACAATTTAAGTCAGCAGAAGATGTGACCATCCTTGTGCCACACTAATCAAATCCCTTCACATTGGGGAACCTATCTCCAGCCCAGGTCCATGCACAAAGCTGCAGGGCTGGCATCCAACCAAACTAGCAGTTCTTTTTGATTTTGAAGTAAATTACAAGATAACTAACTAGATGCAAAACCAGTACAGGAAACAAAAAGTAATGGCACTCTAACAGACTCACCGGATGAAGTTCCCCAATAATAAAGGATTCTGACAGTGTCCTTGCATCTGTGGAATGGCCAACATCTTCAAAGTTCTCAGTAGCATCTCCTCCAGCTTGCTCCCTCAGGACCTCTTCACCTCCTGGGTGCTGCAATTTTTAATAAGTTGAAATGGGTTACTGAAAGAGTTTTCACATTCTAGAAAAGGAAATTCTTCAGTTTTGCATTTCTAGAAAATAATTTTTAAAAAGGCAAGCAAAATGAGCTGCTAGAATTTCTAGAGCAAACGTGAGCCTTTCTGAATAACTAGAGAGCTTTATGCACTCTCTGAAGCCAAAAATCAAGGAAGCCAAGTCTTTATTTCATCAGCAACAAAGCAGTAAGAGCCATTACCCCTTGCAACTAAATCATCTAGAATGTTGTGTGGCAATCAGTCAGTAGTTTAATAGTCCAGCTATTATCTGAAGTTACATTCTGTGTTCTCTCTTCTGCATGAAATGTGTTTTTATCCAAGTAATGCTTTATACAGCAAAGGGATAAAAGTCAAAAGGTATAAACTGCAGCAAGAACATTCCAGGAAGATATAATGAAAAAACACCTGTTCCCAAGAAGCACGATCAAGCATTGGCAAAACAAGTTGGCAAGGTAGCACACACTCTCCATCCTTTGAGGCTGTCTACACAAGGTGCTAAGGAATCTGACCATCATCTTAATCCTACTTTGAGATGGAGGTTTGGCCAGATAACCTTCAAGGGTCCTTTCCAAAAGAAATTATTGTATGAGTATCAAGTAAGCCAGCTACTTTGGAACTGTTAAGCACAGCTGAAGGCTCACACCAGACACTACAATAGCAATTTGGTTTTCACAGACTATGGAATAACAAAACCACATTGCTGATAAAACCCTTTAGATGTAGAAAGGCCATTTCCCAGTACCTTCTAATACCTCAACCCATCACCATTCCCCATAACCCAAATCCCTGTTCTCCATTAACTTTTATTCTTGCCCAGGATGCACTTTTGGGATTTTATGGAGTTCCACATTTCCATCCATCAAATAACTCTGCCTGTATATACTGCAAGATATATCACATCTGCTAGTTCGGTGAATTTCCCCAGCTTCAAGTTACTCATTCACATAACAGATAAGTAACATGCCATAAAACTTCACAACTTAGCTTTCAAGTAGGAAATTACTACATAAACATTGGGAATGATTAGGTAATCAAGTTGAAAACACTACTACTGCCTTGGATTAAGGCAAACATGGAATGGATTGTAGCACTTTACCAGTGGCAGAGAAAATAAAAGGCTTTGGAGTCTCAATTAAATTTTTATTGCTTCTGACTACAGGATCTAAAATTATGAAAATTAAGCAAAACTTATGCTATTTAGGGTCATCTTGCCTGGAGCATAGCTGACCAGAAAGTCTATGCTTAGCCAGTAAATTAAAGAACTGGTATGAACATTTTTCCTAGTCTAGGCAATTCAGGCTAGCATTTACTTGAAATCCTATCAAACCTTGTCTTCCAACAAAAACACGATCTGTTTATACAAGCAGTGAAAACACTACTACTACCACCAGTTTCCAGCAGTACCAGAACTCCAAAACTTGAATCTCTGCATTAAAGGCAAGCATTTATTTTAATAAATGAAGAAAGTTGAGAGAGGAAAAGAATACAAAAACACATACCAAAAAAACCCACACACAACACTTTTTTCAGGAGCCAAGACAGCACAGCCATTAGGGTAAGGGATCCCTACCATGACTAAGCAAAAGCAAGATTAAGCAATCGATAGAGAGATTAGACGCAGCAGCTGAGCCAAAAAAAGGTTAAAAGAGTGCATGTAGAGTAAAGATTATGCAAGCGGACGTGCAAATATGGCATGCAAAATCCTGTCCTTCAATCCATTCTGATAAGTATTCAGGGAAAGGACTGGGCAACAGCTGAGGGAACACTCAAGTTCAGTGCCTTAAACTGGTATTTAAGAAGCTGAACTTGGGTCTAACAGGCTGTCCCACCTCAGCAATGTGAGTTGAGGTTTTGGGGGGAGTTGTTTTGGTTAGGTTTTTTAATACCATACTAAAGAACTGTGTTCCCAAACTAGAAAAATATACATAGCAACTTCAGCAGAAAAGGTGAGGAAACTCCTTGGAAAACATGTTTAATAAACAAGGTATCAACAGGCAGCAAAAAGCACCAAGCTTAAACTGCCCATAAAGCAGCAGCAGCACAAGTAGCACAGACTCATGCGTTGCAATGAAGCCAAACCCTACTCATACAAGCACATAACACACTAGTTTCTCCAGCAAGTCATCAAGATCACATGGTTTACACCAGTTTTTCCCCAGAATTCACCAGCCAAACAAGTGGATACCTGCCAATAAAACTGCATCTACATTAAAATTATTTCACAGAGTACTTTCACAAACTATTTGCAGGTTGCCAACTACAAAATGATCATGTACTAACTTGTGTTCCCAAATCCCTCCCTTGTGCCACTACAGAGCAATCATGTAGCTATATGGGCAACATCACTGAGGCACTCCAACTTTTCCCAGTAGAACTAGTTTTTGGTCTAATGTTAACTGATCTACAAACCCACAATATTAGTGTCAACACAGTGACTGCAACCAACCCGCTGAGTGGCTATCACACATCATCTGAAGAGGGGACAAACTCACCCTGACCTCTGCCACCACAGCTGGAAAACTGGTAGTATTTTTGTTTCCTGACATGAGTAAGGCCAAGGTAGAGAGAATCACAGAGTTCCAAAATTAAGCCACATACCAGATGATAATACTAACAACCTACTAGACTTAGATAAAAGTACTTTGAAACTGAACACTTTGGTTTTTAGATGGCATTTCTGCTTAAAGAGAAACTTGCAAACAACCAGTATGTAATACAAGCAGTTAATGAAACCATTTCACTTCCCCTAATGAGAGGGAGCAACTGTAATGTCTCACAAGGGGCAAGAACTGACTTTTCTATCAGAAGCTGAACATTTCCCATAGTTGGCTAAGTTTCCTAAAGTTTGTTTATACAAGGCCTTTGTCCATGCTGCTGCCTGGTAAACAAAGCTTGCTACCAGAACTGCAACTTTAATGAAGATCCTCTGGATAAACCCTGGAAAGCCCACAAGACTATAGAAATAGTGGCTCCTAAACCAAAATCCTGCTGATAAAAATAATTGAAGAGTTCTTGCAGGTAAAGTTGTGGTTCAAGGGAAATGAAAAAGTTCTTGATGATAAATTAAGACAGCCTAGCTCATTCCTGGGACATTCCCAATATAAAAACATACATAATCTAAGTTACACACATAACAGGTGTCTGTACAGAGCCAGCACTAGCATGGACTAATTCCTAACAGCAGCAATTAGAAAGCTTAAGATGAAACCAATAAGCAGTTAATGTTGCTGCTCTCATCTGAGTCAAAAGTCCAAGTTACTCTATCCTGAATGCCAACTCTTCTCCCCGTTGCTAGTAATGCAGACTTCTTGGTGTTATAGTTCAAGCATCACTACTCTCATTTGCAGTGACTGCCCACTCTCCCTTCCTTTACTGGGGGAAGGAAATCTAAGGTCCAGTTTAACTTTTGGGGAGATTAGCAAATGTCTCCATCAGTGACAGTCTTATAAATTAAGATTTCATTTTCTGCACTACAGGGAACAAGAAGCAGAAGGAGGGCAGCACCAGAGCCAAAAACACCCAGACAGCCTCAGCCTTATTGTGCAAGACAGACAGACAAATGCTTGTTTGTTTCAAGGGCACTTTTGTGTAGCCTGAAAAAGAGTCCCCCAAATTATTTCCATCACCTATTTAAGTTACAGGACATAAACGGTCTGCTCATGTAAAATGTTGGGAGCCTAGGAGAGAATATACTCTCTTGGAGTATATTTTTGAAAACCATCATTAGGATTTTAGATGAAGTGCAAAATACCCAGTAGCTGGGTGCCAGTCCTGGTTTCAGCTGGGATAGAGTTCCATATTCTTCTTAGAGGCTGGTACAGTGCTGTGCTTTGGATTCAGTATGAGAATAATCTTGATAACACACTGATGCTTTAATTGTTGCTGAACACTTCCCCTAAGTCAGGGACTTTTAAGTGTCTCATGCTCTGACAGCAAACAGGTACACCTCAGGCCAAGGAGCATAGCCATGACAGCTGGTCCAAATTGGCCAAAGGGATATTCCATACCTTATTCCACTCCACATGCCATAGCATAGACCATCACACCCAGTACATAAACTGGGGGGGAGTTGACCCGGAGCTGCCAACCACTGCTTGGGGACAGGCTGGGCTTCAGTCTCTTTTTATCTCCCTTTTCATTACAACTATTATATTTTATTTCATTTCATTTCAGTTATTCAGCTGTTCATATTTCAATCCACACATTTTACCTTTTTTCCCCTGACAGCCTTCCCCATCCCATGGGAGGGCTGGAGAGAGCAGTGAGCAAGGGGCTGCAGGGTACTTAGCTGCCAGCTGGGGTTAAACCACAGCAGTGCCCTTTCTCCACTCACAGAACAGTTACAGGTTGCAGCCTTTTGCATAATAGAGTGCTAAGAAGTGTTTTTTCTCAATGCTATTTCTCAAGGCATTTTCGAATTCTCCTGCAAGCTTCATCAGAGCTTAAGGAAGTGATAACACCAGGTTTAATCCTCAGACTGCAAGGTTCTGCAGTAACAATTCACATGGTACACTAGCAGACTTCAAATGTGGCAATATGAGCACGCTTCAATGTAAGCCACTCCTTATTTCAAACATGGAAGGCATTATGATACTCCACCATACCATCTTACTGAATGGATCTAACTTATTGCCACACAGGGCAGAGAACATCTTTTATCCTGACACAGTAAAACAGTATTTGCTTTTTTGACCTTTATTTGATCAGCATTACAAAACACATTGTGTGGGAGCTCTCCGTTCTGCTCAGAAAAAGTGCTGTGAAAACACAAGTTCATACCTTAAGAAAATCCCAGTATTTTCATTGACCATAATATTTTTGCTGAATTCTGAGACCACCAACAATTGAAGTAACCTAAACAAAGTCTGTATTCGATTAACATTAAATACATACCATAGTTAATTTCCATAACAAAGAACTCCTCTTGGGTAGAGATATTCCTATACATGTTTGCCT